AGGAGTAGCACTTTCGATTTTCTTCAAGAACTTTTCCTTTACATTTACAACTTAGCTAAGAGATTGATATTTGGCACAAGAGGCCCAGCTTTTGACCTATGTCAGCTTTTGGCATGCCTTCTTCATTAAGCTAATTCATGCCTAGTTTTTTATTTAAAGTGAGAGAGCTGCTACTCCTCCTTTCACCTGAACACTTAGAGGCTTTTCTAGGGTTCTTAGGTGGCCTAATTTCAATTGTGTTGTTCTCAAGGAATGGGGGAACCCTGGGATAGGGAGATAGATGGGGAATGGAGGGTGAATGGGGCAGTCAAAACACACAAATTTATCTATGAAGTTTGCATCCCTATGGGTGCAGTTTGGGGTACCCCAAAACAATTACAATAGTATCATTAAAGATCACTGATCACAGATCACCATAACAAATATAATAATAATAAAGATGTTTGAATCATTGCAAGAATTATGAAAAAGTGACACAGAGACTCAAAGTAAACAAGTGCTATTGGAAAAATTGTAACCACAGCCTTGCTTGATGCAGGGTGGCCACAAAACCTTAATTTGTAAACAATACAATAGCTGCAAAGTGCAGTGAATTGAACTTGGTTATTTCCCCAGACAAGGAGAGAGAAGGAGGTTGGGGATCAGAGTCCTAGACCTGTCACTTACTTCTTACTATCTGTGTGATGGGGGCAAGTTAACCTCCCAGAACATCCATTTGGACTGGTATAGAATAGAGAAAAAAATAACACATCATAGAGTTATTGGTAGGAGTAAATTAAATTGGTAGGATTAGGGGTGTCTGGGTGGCTCAGTTGTGAAGTGTCTGCCTTTGGCTCAGGTCATGATCCCAGCGTCCTGGGATTGAGCCCTGTATTGGGCTCCCTGCTTAGAGAGAGGCCTGCTTCTCCCTCTCCCACTTTCCTGCCTCTGTATTCCCTCTCTTGCTATCTCTCTCTGTCACAAATAAATAATAATATCTTAAAATTAAAATAAATCAATCAATCGGTAGGATTAGATGATTGGTAGGATTAGATACTAAAAAAAAGAAGTCCTTTATGAATGATTAGGTCCTCTGCAAATTTAGGCACTAATACTAACTCATCTGTGTTAAGAAATATTCATGAAGTGACTTCTGTGTGCCAGGTACTATGCAAGGCCTCAGGCACATAGTGGTGAACAAAGTCGTCTTCATGTCGCCAGCATTTGCATCACAGCCAAGGTGGCTCAGAGAGAGTCCAGTAGAGACAGATTCATTACAGTGTGAAATTTGGTATGGCAGAGATGTGGGGAAGGAAGGAGTCAGAAGATTCCTGGCAAGAACCGACATAGAAGTACTCGTCTAATGACCAGGAATAGTCAGTCCAGAAAGAGTGGTAGTGGTGATGAGGGAAGATCATTCCAGAAGAACACAGCATGTATATAAAAACTCAGTGCACTGAGAGGAGAGTGTCCAACCATGGGTGTTTAGGACCCTGTAATTGTTCAAGGTGCTGGGAGTTAAAGAGGCCGCCGCATCAGAACAGACAGTGGTCAGGGGCCTGATTATAAATGACTTTTTCTGTGTCTCAGCCACAGAGGAGCTATAACCAGGTTCTGATGAGACCTCTTTGAATGTCACCCATGGTGCCACCATTACTCTTGGATCCCATCATTTTAGGTTGGAAGACCCCAAGTCTTCTCCCTTCCCCTTCCTATAAGTGAGCCTCCTGCTGGTTTCATCTATGTTTATGTCCAGCCTTTAGTCCATGGGAAATAAATTGAATTAAGTGACTCTCCCTAGGTCCCCTTTGAATTTTTATTGACCCTGCCTTTCCAAAAACTATGTTTTGCTCTTGTTTGCAGGCTGCAAATAAAATGGCATGCCAGCTGGCTCCTTTATGAAACCAAGTTTGGTGTTTTGGTCACCCCTCCCCATTCCCCCATATCATCTGGTCCCCAGATTCTATCTGTGGTAGGCAGAATAATGACTCCCCAAAGATGTATATACACCCTAATCCCCAGAACCTGTGATGATGTTGCCTTGTGCAGCAAAAGGGACTTTGCAGGTATAATTAAGCTCAAGGTCTTGAGATGGAGAGATAATCATGGATCATCTGGGTGGCACCAACAAGGGCCCTTAGAAGAGGGAGGAAAGAGTCTCAGAGTCAGAGAAGGAGATGTGATGAGAAAAGCAGAGGTGAGAGGAAGGCAGGACAGGAGCTGAGAAGTGCAGGCAGCCTCCAGAAGCTGGGAAAAGGCAAAGAAACAGATTTCTCCCCTAGTGCCTCCAGAAGGAGTGCAACCCTGTTGACCCATTTGGGACTTTTGATCTCAAGAACTGGAGGATAATAAATTTGTGCTGTCTTAAATCAAGTTTGTGGTCATTTGTTTCAGCAGGGCTGGGAAACAAATACCCTACCCATTCTGCTCCCTTCAGGCCAAGCCTCCTCTTAGGTGATCCAGTGATCCCTCAACTCTATTCCTTGCCCAAACTCTACTACAGTTTTGCTCCAACTTTCTGTCCTTAATTCTTTCCCAAACTGATTCCTCCACTTACACTCTGGTATTCATTCTCCAACTGCCTCTAGCCCCTGATTCTAGCTAGTACTTTGTTCCACATCTGCAATCTCTTCATTGTGACTGGTTTTTATTTTAGCTCTCCTTATTTCTTTAAACTTCTGCACTCATGCAGTCAATTCCTAACCTTCCTCCACACACAGTCCATAATAGAGGACCACCACTCTTCACCCCACCCACATAGGCAGTGCCCTGCAGAGTCCCCGGTTGTCAAAGCTAAGTTCAGTTCCTCTCTCCGAGGTCCTTTACTTCTCCAGATCTTGATCCTGTTGAGTCACTTTTCACCCTTTGGAACCTCAACATCTTTCCCTGGTTCTCCATGGTCTCCAGGCTCTTTGGTCTCTTCTGGTCATTTATTCCTCCCTGAATTCATCAACTTTTTATTGCAATCCTACTGTGTGTGCAGGGAATGCATGTGAATATGCAGACACTGGTCCTATGTCCCTCAAAGAGTTTAGAGCACACTAGGAAAGACAGTCATGCAAAAATAATGACAATATATCGCTCTAAGGGCAAGAGCAAAAACGCGCACCAGGTAACATATATGCCCCAGTCCTCTGCCCAACCTCCCACCTAGCTACTCAAAGTGTGGTCTGAAGCAGTGGGAAAAGCATCACCTGAGAATCTGGAAAAAGGCAGAATCCAGAGCCCCTTCCCAAACCTAACCCTGTCTCCACCTCCTCAAGGCCTTTTGCCCCTCTGCTCCACCTGGACCAAAATCTCCCATTCTTCAAGGTCTAGCCCTGAGGCCCTTCCCACTGTGAATCTTCATGTTACCTATTTCTCCCTAAGGCAGAATTTATTGCCCCTCTTTCTGTTTGTACCATCTGTAGAACATTTATCACACTGTTTTATTCTGTTTCATTTCATGAATGTTTACTGAGTGCTTTTGGGTACTATGCCAAGGTCTGGGATACAGAAGAAAAGAAGAAATGATTCCTTACCACCAGGTATTGGCAGCCTATTGTGGTTAATTACACATATGACCATTTTTGCCTGCTTTTCTTTGAACAGTTTGAATGTTGACTTCAAATGTTCCAGTATTCACCTTAATGTTCACTCAGGAAATGAAACAGAGTTGCAACCATGATTAATAAAACCTTGGGCTGACCTTTAATCTTCACTTGAGCATATGTTTGGGTACCTTCTGTAATCCGTTTCTACTTTCCCCTTCCTAGCAGTCTTTAGTCTCTGAGTATCACTGGGGGTCAGCAGAAGCACCAGGGGTACAGTGTGTGTCCTAAACAGAGAATACCAGGACTCTTGTTTGGATGTTGGTGGGGCGGGGGGAGGCAGAAGAAGCATGGTGCCTCGAGAGCCCCTTGGACCTGTATGGAGCCCACAAGGAGAAAGCCTGCTGAAAACGGAACCCAAAATCAGAAATCAAATCTGAGAAATAGAAAATAGGAAAACTGTTCTGTTTGTATTATTTGAGCTCCTGGATCAACCACCTCATCAGAAGGCATTTTGCCCCATCTAATTAGCTAATAAATTCCTTTTATTATTTAAATCAACATGGGTTGGGTGTTCTGTGACTGCTAATCACAATCATCCTAATTATTTCAATCTTTTATTTGATTATAAAAAATCAGCAACTAACTTGCTACCTAGAAAACAAGGCTCTGCTGTCACTCCAGGCTGACTTCCCCATGCATAGGTCATTTCCTTGGCCTTTTCTGAGAAACCAGATTCCTGGACTGCATGGCCACACTCAATTTCAATTCAAGCTTTTCTGCCATAGTGACAGGTTTTACCTTTGTTCTGTTTTTAGTACTGTGCCTGTTATGGTTAATTTTATGTGTCCACTTCACTGGGTCATGGAGTGCCCACATGCCTGCTTGAACATTATTCTGAGTGTGTTTGTTGAGGGTGTTTCAGATGAGACTGGCATTTAAATTGGTAGAATGAGTAAAGCAGATTGCCCTTCCCAATGTGGGTGGGCCTCCTCGAAACTGCTGAGGGCCTGAGTATGAGTGGTTGAGCTGGGACATTGGTCCACTCCTGCCTTAGATCGTGACTTACACCACCAGCCATCCAGTTCTGAAGCTTTCAGACTCTGACCAAGGCTCACACCTTTGATTCTTCTGCTCCTCAGGCCTTTGGATTTAGACCGGAACTACACCACTTGTTCTCTTGGGCCCTCAGTGTACAAAGGTTGTACTGCAGGACTCCTCAGTCTCATAGTCACGTAAGCCAATCCCAGTTGCTCACGATATATGTATCCTGGTTCTGTTTCTCTGGGGAACCATAACACAGTACCCAACCTCTGCCGTCACCTCCTCACTTACATGGGTCTAGAAAAAGCGAATGAGTGCTTTCATTTAAAGATGGGTGTGTTTGGGCACACGGGAGCGGAAACCTGAAGCACATATCCTGTTCTCATACCCAGAAACATGCCTGGTTGTGTGGACCATCAAATACATGATGTGCTTTTGCTTTTTTACCTCTGGTTGCTTTCTCTTCACGGCTACATGCAAAAGCCGGAGAAGATGGTACTGTTCTGGTTGTTCCAGCTGAGACATCAAGGCCAGGAGTTCTGTCAGGTGTCTGTTGATTGGCTGAGGCTGCTTTTCATACACCGCGGGCAACACCCTCAACAGCATGGCATTGCCTATTGAGGGAACAATACCGAGAATGGTGAGTTATTAGCTCAAGGGCAGTGGAAACACATTTATTGTCAATGCAATAACCTTTGCACTTATTCATTAAATAGTGAGGAGTGAGGGCCAAGTCTTCTTCTAAAAATAACACCATATCTTATTCTGAAAAATCACTAAAGCATGATTTAAATGGATTCCATACAAGGGAATATTTTATTTATTTATTATCTAATGAAAACTTTTCCTGAGTAAGGCACCATGGGGAAAGAGGAAAATTTGACAGTAACCAGACCACACCCTTAAGAAGGAAACTGTTCTGACAAAGAATTCCTGACGAGAAAAAACATTTGGATGTTGTTTAAATGAAAACTAAGCAGTGCCATAAGCATGAAACCAAACCAAAAAAAGTGCAGAGGAATGTATCCACGTTCCTGAGAGATATGGGGGCATGATTAAGACAACTGACATATGGCAAAGGTGCCTTATTTTTATGAATAGTCAGAAAAGTAGCAATGCAAATTTAAATCCCCAATTTCTGTACTATTTCAAGGGAAGTTGAGATTCAGCTTGTTTGTCACACATGATTTGCCTCAAAGACATGTATGGACAACTGGATTTAAAATGGAAAAATCTCCAGAAAAGATACTGCATAAGCTATAGGGACTTATCTGCAAACAACATATGGGAAACATCTGCTTATCACGTTATGGTATGGATTTTTTTTTCAAAAGCCTCTCAAGTAACTTAAATGTCTCAGGAGAATTGGTTTCTAGGGATTTCTTGAAGAAAATTCTTTTTGTGTCTATTTACTTTAAATTTGGCTTTGTATATAGAAGAAGGACACAGAAGGAATCAAATAAGCACCAGTAATTACACGTATGTAGACCTTTCTCAAACAGAAGGAATGTGTCCACATATAAAGGACATTTAGATATGAGAATTGGACAAAAGGCTATTATTTTCAGAATACCAGTGACTAAAAATAGTAGAAGGGTGATTCTGGATCAACTTAAATGTATATGGGTGATGATTAATAATGAGAATTGCTTTTCCCACATGTGGTTCATAGAATTAATCTCCAGAAGGTTTCGGTCATATGCCCAAGGACTGCAAAGTACTAGAAATATTCAGGGTTTTCTTTTTTAAAACAAGTTGTGTCCATACACAACACATTGCTTTATCTGTTTTCCTTCTCTTTTAACCAAGAGCTTTTCCTTAAACAAGCAGAAATTTTAAATGTAATGCCCACTCTGTACAGGGTACAATAGATCTTAGAGCTTAATTATGTAGACACACTGACCAATCCCTAAAAAATTTCATGATAAGTAGCAATCTTTTTGGAATCGAAGACAGGAAACTGGTATAAGGCTTTTGGTGAGATACTCATTAGACACCCTGAGAGTCTTGAAGGGAAAATCTCCAGATTAGTCATTTTCAGCTGACTTGAATTTTGATCAAATGATGCAAAAGTAATTGCATAAAATTTTTTTCTAAGTTAGAAACTGATGAAGACACTTTGATGTAGAAATTCTAAAATTCAGAAGCAAAAAGAGAAATCCTGTAAATTCCATTTATAAACTAACAATTTTTTAAAATTATAGAATATTTTAAGACATTAGGCAAATGAGGTAATAATATAAAGAATAGGGTTGTGCCCACCAGCTAGCTTTGTCAAAAAACCTCATGCCAAAATGGCTTCCTATCCCACTCATTTCCTTTTCTCCCCAAGGGCAACCACCATCCTAAAGATAGTATTTATCATCTTCACGGATATTTTTACTTCTTAGTTGCATGAGTCTATACCAACAAACATTTTATGGTGTTGTTTTGCATGCTTTAAAATTTTATATCAATAATATTCATACTGTACAAATCTTTTTGGAACATTTTTTTTTTTTTTACATTCAACACCGTGTTGAAGTTTTAGCTCCAAAAAGCTCTCCTTCACTTACTCTCACAGCTGTATGGTATTCTATTGTATAAACAGACAATAATTTATTCATATACTCTATGGTTGAAAGACACTACTATGATGATGATGATGCTTTTTACCAATAGCACTGCAATTTTTATACCTATTTCTTTGTTCATAAATGGAAGATCTTCCCTAGGGTGCGGCCTCCGAGCTTAATCGCTTAGAAATCACCTGGGTATATTGATTCAGCTGGTTCAGAGTTTGGGCTTGAGAATCTGAATTTCTAACAAGCTCTCACGTGATGCTGATGGTCCCTGGGTCACGTAATTAAGCAGAAAGCAGTGACTATGTCCCTGGGAGTTAAGTTTCTAGATCCTCGAAAATTTCTCTGCAGTGTGGTTGTATTAGTTTTCTAAGCTGCCATAAGAAATTACCAAAAACTTAGTGGCCCAAATTCTTATCTTATATTTCTATACTTCAGAAGTCTGCTGTGAATCTCACTGGGCTAAAATCCAGGCATTGGAAGGCATGAGTTCCTTCTTGGAGGCTAAAAAAGGGAATTGGTTTCCTTGACTTTTCTAGTTTCTAGAGACTATCAGCATTCCTTGGAGTTCCCTTCCTTCATCTTCAAAATCAGCAACAGAGCAAGCACCTCTCTGACTCTGCTATCATCATACCTCTTCCTCTGATTCTCCCTTCTGCCTCTCTTTTCCGCTTTTAAGAACCCTTGTGATTACACTGGGCCCATGTGTATCATCTAGGGTTATCTCCATATTTAATGTAGCAACCTTAATTTCAATTTCAACCTTTTCTTTTTTTTTTTTAAGATTTTATTTATTTATTTGACAGACAGAGATCACAAGTAGGCAGAGAGGCAGGCAGAAAGAGAGAGAGGAGGAAGCAGGCTCCCCATGGAGGAGAGAGCCCGATGTGGGGCTCGATCCCAGGACCCTGCGATCATGACCTGAGCCGAAGGCAGAGGCTTTAACCCACTGAGCCACCCAGGCTCCCCTCAACCTTAATTTTCAATGCAGTGAAATAACATGTCCACAGGTTGTGGGGATGAAGATGTGAACATTTGTGGGGGGGCATTATTCTGCCTACCATCATGACTATAATAACCTACACACCCACCGGCAACATGAATGTTTCTGTTGTTCCTTATCTTTGCCAACATTTGGTCTTGACAGACATCGGTTTTTGCCAGCCTGATGGAGTGTGAGATGGCATCTCATTTTTTTGTTGTTTTCATCTTCATTTCCTTAACTGCTTGTGCAGCTAAGCATCCTTTTAATATGTTTACAGGTCATTTCCCCTCTCACCATTTGACCATTCATATCTTTTGCCTATTTTCAGCTGGGATGTTTGTGTTTTTTTCTTGATTTGTAGAAGCTATTTATTTATTCTAGACACTAGTTGGTTTTTTTCTATTGCAATGTCAATGTACTTGATTTTTTAAAATTTCTTTATAGTTTATAATTTTTTTGTTATTAAGGTATCGTTCTCTAGCCTAGGTTCATAAAAATTTTCTCTTAAAAGCATTATGGTTTTGTTTTTCATATTTGTCTTTAATCTATCTGGAATTTATTTTTGTACATGAGGAATGGATTTTTTGTGTGTATATAAATAATTGTCCTAGCATTTATCAAGTTGTCAGTTGTTTCTCTTCCAATTTTTTGATACCTTCTTCACATGTAAGGTTTCTCATATGTCTGGGTCTGTTTCTGGGTATTTATCATACCTTTACCAATTACACATTTTGTTAATTGTAGTAACTTTATAATGAATCATTATATCTCATGGGGCAAACTATCTTCTACTTCAAATTTTTCTTGGTTCCTCTACACAAATTTTACCATTACTTTGTCAACTTCCTTGAAAAACTACTTTATTTTTTTCTCCCATACTCAATGTACAGACTAATTTGGGATAATTGACATCTTTATGAAATTGAGTGTTCCATTCAAAAACATATGTCCTTCCATCTATGCAGGGTTTTAAAGAATGTTTTTCAATAAAGTTTTGTGATATTAGCTGCATCTTATGTTCTTTTAATTAAAAATTATTCCTAGGTATCTCATTTTTGTTTTGCTATTGTAAATGGAAACTTTTAAAAAATGTATCATCAGTTGTCTGCTGGTATTAAGAAAGTAGATGATTTTTGTGTTGATCTTTCAGCCAACAAAACTTCCTCAATTCTCTTATTAATAATCTGTCTTCAGTGTCTCTTAGATTTTCTATATATAGGCAATCAACTCATAATGATTGATGAAAGCTTTGTTTCTTTTTTTCTGTTCTTACGTCTTAATGCTTTTTTTTTTTTTTTTTGATCCTACTTTCCTGGCTAGAACCTCCAGTACTTCAGTGAATAGAGCTAGTGTCCAAGGTATCCTTTTGTTTTTACTCTTTTTAAGAAGTGTGTTTCTAAGGACCCATCATTATATATGTATATGGCTCTATCAATTTTGTTATTTCTGTTTTATTTTTGTTTCTGTACATAAATGATGAATTTTATTAAATGATTTTCTGCATCTATTGACATGATTATATAATTTCTTCTAAATTGTTCACGTAATTAATTGATAACTCTAATTTTAACCAATCTTGCAGTCTTGGAGTAACACTCAACTTGGTTGATTGGTTATAATGTATTTTTATGCATATATTGCCAAGTTCTTTTAGCTAATATTTTATTTAGAGCTTTTGCATCTATGTTCTTGAATGAAGCTGAACTTTTGTTATACTGTCCTTGTCTCTTTTTAGTATCATAGGTACTACACATATAGAAAGTATTTAGCACATTCCTGCACACTTCATTCTTAGAAGCAGTTTGTATAAGAAGAGGATTATATGTTCCTTGAATGTTTGGTAGAACTTGCTTATTAAACCTTCTGGACAATGTTCTATACATTTCATTACTTCAAACTTCATGTACCGTAAGTTTCTGTATGTTTTAGCAGGTGTTTTTTTGGGGGGGAATTTGAGTAGCCATTTATGACAGCAGTGAACTTAGTTATGAGAGAGGTATATTAAAATCTCCCCCATCAGGGACGCCTGGGTGGCTCAGTTGGTTAAGCAGCTGCCTTCGGCTCAGGT